CTATCAGGACAGCTTGTTCCAACTCCTCACCGCTCTCTGTGAAGAACTTTCCCCTTCAACTAAAATCTATATAATAAATGAGAGCTATAAGTACAAAGCTGCAACCTGCTGCTCATTTTGAGCACAAATAATACTTCAGGTTTTTGCACAGCGTTTTAAATTTATACCATCCTCAGTAGTTAGGGATATTAATTCAGTTTTAGCAGTCCATAGAATAAGAAGTGGTCACGGAAAACAATGAAATGCTTGCAAGTTGTTGGCATGTTTTTAGTAGCCTGTTAACATACTTGGCACGAGTGAAATGAAAACAGTATAAAAACCATCTTGGTAGTGCGTGCCCAACAGTAACTTATTATCAGGATGCAGAAATACACTGAACATCTGTTATGTTTTCTGTTCAGATGCTGAAGTCTCTTTTCAAAGAATATGGACAAATAGAATCCATTCGATTCCGTTCTGTGGTACGTTATTTTCTCTGATGTTACATGGCATCTGCTTTTCTGACCTTACGGGATACTGTTCCTAAGGCTTGTATCTTCATTAATTTAGAAGCAGGCTTACCATTAGAAGAAGCACTGGCGATATTACTGCAGAGGCACCTTTCATCACGTTTTGTTCCCATATTGTTCCCATAACAGCAGTTTGTACCATCAGAGCTGTAGTTTTTCTCTGAGAAGGCCCTTATTATTGCTGATTTAACTACGGAATTATTAAGCTGTTTTTAAATTACAGCAGCAAAGGCATATTCATTGAACTCTGTGTACTGTATGGAATAGGAGAAGATAGTTCTTCTCTTGGAACTCAAGAAACAGCCTAGGCCAAAACAAGCTGTATAATTTTGAGATATTTCTAGATCATCAAGAATATCCATTTGCTCAGTGTACTGGCTACATAATGCTAAGTGGCAGTGGTGTTTGTTTGACTTTTCTCTTCAAGGACAAAATAGTTGTGATATGTTATGTTGTCACTGTGATTACTTGATGAAAGCTTTTTTTTATCTTAAAGGTTCCAGCAGAAGTTGCTTTATCCAGAAAGTTAGCAGCCATAAAGTAGGTTCTGCTTCTGAGTTTTGTGCTTTGTTTTTCAAAGACAAAATGTTTTTTTTTAAAGTGCTTGTTGTTCATTGTTTTGCTGTTGCCTTTTTTTTGTCCTTTGTTTGTTTGATTTTTATAATACACTTTGACAAGTAATAAGGAATTATAAGCCTAGTGTAGCAGTAAATAATTGTGTTAGGTTGCATTTCTTATATTTTTTTGGAAGGAGGTAGACAGTAGTTGTCCATAATTCCTTTGGGTGTACTTATGAGCTGAGGAAGCTGAATTGGGGTCCATACACATGCTGTGTGAGATGTACAGTTGAAACTCTTTTCAACAGAATGTGCTTTACAGGAATTGAAGTTGCTACTGCGTGCAAAACAGGGGAGATGTCAGTTGTTTAACAAGAAGTGCTTGTGCACAGCATAGTATCAGAATTGTTTAAAAAGTGTCTTTTTCCCATTCCAGGCGTAAGATTCATCCTAACGTGAAGTACATTAATGCTTATGTCGTGTTTAAAGAAGAACATGCTGCTGTTAAGGCTCTAAAAAAGTAAGTCTCAGCTTTGTTCCTCGTGCCTGTTGAGAAGGCAGATACGCAGAGTGTTTAAAGATAAATTTAATCTGCGTCCTGTTCTTTGCTTGTATTAAAACAAAGATGGTATTTCAGGCTTGAAAGTAAATTTGCCTTTTGCAAAAATGCTATGCAGTGACTTTGTAAATGAAGCAATGATTCATCGTTTAATTTTAAGAACTTTTTCTTTTGATTACAAAAGAAATGGAACAGAAGTTGCTAGCGGATTTCACATCAGAGTTGACGGTGCATCAAACAACAGTTTGGTAAGTAGTGTGTGACACGAACCCACGTTCTGTGTTTTGCTGTAACAAATGACTTAGTGGCTTTCAACCTCTTGTTTTCTTTAGCATGACAACAAGCGATCTGTATTCTTGGGAAATCTCGCGTATGGTAAGTAAATTGGAACATCTTGCCTTGTTTAGTGCTTATGGAATACAGTGCTGTTAGGATTCTTTTATGTATTGTTTAAGGTACCATGTTTAGGTAGCTAACTATCATTTGTTGGAATCTTTTAAAATAGCACTTTTATTTTTTGACAGAGGCATCAAAAGGGGTGAGTTTTCAGCAGGTGCTGCACATTAATTGTTTTCTTCTGTTATATTTCTAGAACTGCAAGCACTTCTATTTCTTATTGTTACTTCACATTTCTTAAATAAATATGACTAAGCTGCATATGTCACAGCTTAATAAACTGCCATATGCGTGCTTGTACTTGTGAACCACTTCCAAGTGATACACAGGGACAGCTTCTAATTTTGATGTTCATCTGTGAGCCACAGGATGAGTGACTGTGCAGGCAGCTGTTTGCTGTGAGTTGTTAGCTGAGTGGATGTGCTTGCTGTGTAGTTCAGGTCAGTGCTTAATGAATATTCAGCTGCTTCTGAGTAAATGAAGGGATCACCGTCAGGTGTGGTCCATGTGAGGGTATTAATGGAGTGAGGATGCTTGGGATAACTTGCTTTGGGGTGTGGTGCGGGACGAAGGCACGTCCTGTGCCAATAACTTGATAAACAACCAGTACTGTTAAAACTTGACCTGTCTGTGAAGCTGGAGAAGTGACAGATCTGAGTATGTTAACATTTCTCTGCTGTGTAGAACTTGTGTTGGTACTGTCCTTCCATGCATCCTGCAGGAAAAGAGCAGTTTGGACATAGTAATCTGGAAATTACTTCAGCACCTTTAACTTTTCTCAGCACATCAAATTCCCATAAAATTAAACCCTCACTAGTGCAGAGACATATCCACGTAAAGAGAGTTACTATAGAATAAAGTGTACCTGTACAGAAGACTAACCTGTGTTTTAGTACTTTTACATCCCACTTGTCTTTCTGGTTGCATAGGCATGAGACTGAAAAAGCCTCACGTGTGTGACCATTATCAGAATAGTCATATTAAATCCCTTTTCCCCCATTCAGATAACATTTAGTCCAGTCACTGAGCATCCAGTTTCAGGAACTGCTAGCTCAGGTTTGGTATCATCAGTATTAATTCTCAGAAATAGATTATGGCATAAGAAGGAGTTTCAAAAATGTTGCTTGAATCTTCATTTCCACTGTGTTCAACCCATAACTGAAATTATTTGAAAAAATGTACTTTGGTCTTTATTCTTATTTGTGATTTGTATTGCACTGTTCAAAGGTAGGGGACCAATGAGTGTCAGACGAAACAGTCCTTATATAAAGTCCACAAGCACCAGCATTTGCAAACCACTTTCAAATCATACGCAGTGATGGCTTAGAATTTCCACACTGTCTACAGTGTTAAGCCATTGGAATTTCTCTGAAACACTGATATTTGTGAACTTAATTTTATAGGTCCTGGATGTGTTTACAATCCATTTGGATGCGGTGCTCAGGGACGTGATTTAGCAGAGGGTTATTAGTCAGGGTCGTATGGTTGGGTCGTGGTTGGACTCGATGATCTTTGAGGTCTTTTCCAGCCTGAGTGGTTCTGTGGTTCTGTGATTTAAATATGTTTGCTTACCTAAATTGGTAAATGGTTTGGATTTAGGCTAGGCTTCTAAAGCTGTCTCTCTGAAGAGACGTGTCTTGCTGTGCTTGCCTGCAGACATCAGTGACAGCGCTGTGCGAGAGCACTTTGCTGACTGCGGAGATGTAGTGGCAGTGCGAATTGTGCGCGACAGACAGAGCGGCATGGGCAAAGGCTTTGGCTACGTTCTGTTTGAGGTATGTATGAGTGTCAGACTTCAGGACACTTGTCCAAATCGGAATTGGGAATTGCTGTTATGGCCTTACCTAACACTTGTTTTTTTAAAATACGGACGCGATGTCAGACGGTAGCGCTGTTTTGTGTGTTAAAAGTAGCTTCCTCCAGACCTGTGGCAATTATTTTAGGTTGAGGACAAAGAAAAGTTGCAAAACGCTGATGAAAGAAAGGGAAAGACGTAATAGAGAAAAAAACGAATTCACATGGTGTAACAGCAATGTTTTCCCATTGGTTATGTTTCCAAATGTAAGTGAATTCTTTCCTGCAGCCATTTCTCCACCTCCCTAAACACTGCTTTTTCATGCTTTTCTCCCAGATTCATCTTACTCAGTTTATTTCCTGCAGCCCAAGATCTTCTTTGTCCCCAGTTTCTATCTCTCTCCTATGACTGGTGTAAGGTGTTTCAGAGTTCCCTTTCAAGAACACATGCCCCAGGCATAAGTCCTGTGGGTGCGTGAGCACTTCTGACCAGATTTGACATTATGAAAGTAAAGGCAGTCAGGTGCTCTTCATTGTAAAAACCTGCCTGACAGAATTAAAGAAAGGCAGCCTTTTACTTGGAAGTCATCAACTGGAGTGTGCTGCTTTTCAAGTGGATGTCTGTTCTCACAGAATACGGATGCTGTACATCTCGCTCTGAAGCTCAACAACTCTGACCTGATGGGACGAAAACTCCGCGTGAAACGCTGCTCTGAGAAGGACAAAGCCCCACAGAAAAGCACCACCAGTCGGTCTCGCGGCCCTAAGGACAGAGCTCAAACCATGCTGAAAAACAAGTCAGGCTCTCATGATTCATTTGTTGGCGAAAAAGCAAATCCAGCCAAAAAGAGCACCAAGCCCAAAAGACTGAAAAGCATTAGTAAAAAGAAAGGTGGGAAAAACAAATAGCCTTTTGAACAGCTAGCTATGTTTAAAAAAAAAAGAAAAAAAATTGGTTCTTTTTAATAAAGCCGATGAATACAAGGGCGTTCCGTCGCGTCCTGTCTCTGTCCTTACCGTGCCTCGACCGCGCCGCCCTCTCCCTGCCGGTAGGGAAGAAGGGCGCCGGAAGGGTGAGGACTGCGCGGAGCGTGCCGCCGTTCGCGCATGCGCCGCGGGCCCCGCCGCCCGGCAGGCACCGAGGAAGCCGCCCTCCGGCGCGGGCTGATGACGCAGCGGAAGCGAGGCGGGGTCCTTTCTCGCCGCCCGCTCGCCCCAAGGTGCCTGCGGAGCTCGGCGCCGGCCTTGCGGAGGGCGGGGGCGGCGGCGCCTTCCCCGCGGCGCCGGGCACCATGATGGTGGGCAAGACCGGCGCCATCGCCGCGGGCCTCTGCGGGGCCCTCTTCATCGGCTACTGCATCTACTTCGACCGCAAGAGGCGGAGCGACCCGAATTTCAAGAACCGGCTGCGGGAGCGTGAGTGTCCGGGCCGCCCCTCCCCCGCCCGGCTCCCGCGCGGGGCGGCGGCACGTGGCGGCTCCGCGGCCCTCCCGGCCCGGCTTCTGCGGCCCCGCGCTCTTCGGCCCCTGCGCCGCGTGCTGTGAGCGGCTAACGCGGGCTGTGCGCGCCGGGAGCGCGGCTTGGGGTTACATCCTCCGCCCTGTGCGGCGATCTGTTCATCCCGCACGCTTCGACGGGGCCTGTCGCTGCCGCGCTTTACGTGGCGGCGCTCGTTTCCGGGCGTTCGGAGGGCGATCGGATAAAGCTGCGGTCTGATCGCGAAGCCGCTCCTGCGCTGCGGCGCGAGCGAACGGCGGCCCTCGGACATCTTAGCCGCCGCATTCCAAACCCTCCTGGTGGCTGCCCCCTGGCCTCCAGGCATAAGAACGAATGCCAGAGCGAACCGGTGATTGATCCAAAACGCGGAGCTCCTGTCCTGTGGCTCCTCGTTATTTCACGTCTTCAACATTTAAATAAATGAGCGGTTGAGGAAGTTTTAAATTTAGCTTTACTGTGAGAGCGAGTTGTGCGAGTTATTTGAATAACGAGAAGCAGGCTGAGAGCTGTGGCTTGATTCTACCCCGAGAATAGGTGTGTTCCTCCAGTCACTTTGCTGAAGGTCAGGAATCACTCTCAAAGTAGATTTTCCTAGCAAGCAACTGTAATGTGATCAGCACATTTTGCTGATGAAAGAGCCATTGCTCGTGATCTGGGATTGCAGAAGCAGTTTTGTTTCCTCCGGGTACTTTTTGTCCCACAGTGCAAGGTTGGCAAATTTCAGCATAGTAGACTGGTATTTGTCTTGCATGGAAAACTGGGGTTTGGCAGAATCATTGTCTGCATAGATGCTGAGCCATTGGAGCAGCTTTAGAAGAGGGCCACGAAGATAATCAGAGGGCTGGAGCATCTCTCTTCTGAAGAAAGGCTGAGGGCACTGACCTTGTTCAGCCTGGAGAAGAGAAGGCTGTGGGGAGGCCTTGCTGCAGCTTTCCAGTACTTGAAGGGAGGTTATAAACAGGAGAAGGACTGGCTGTTTTCGTAGTCTGATCGTGAGAGGACAAGAGGGAATGGGGAATGACTTTAAGCTAAAAGAGAGGAGATTCAGGTTAGATACTAGGAAGAAATTCTTTACTCAGAGTGTGGTGAGGCCCTGGCACAGCTGCCAGGAGAAGCTGTGGGTGCCCCATCCCTGGAGACGCCCTAGGGTAGGTTGGATGGGGCCCTCGGCAGCCTGAGCTGGTGGGGGGCAGCCCTGCTTACAGCAATGGGGGGGTTGAGGCTGGATTATCTTTAAGGACCCTTCCAATCTAAGCCAGCCTGTGCTTCTATGATACAATTCTATGCGTTTCATAACATTTGTACAGAAGCTCTGGCAGGGATTTTGCATCCTGTTTGTTTTCATTTTCCGAGTTCTCATCAAGTAAAATTCTGAACAAATCTTACACTTGTTCCATGAACGCTGCTTAACCTTGCTGGATTAGAAATTTATATTTGCTGTAGAAGTGAAAGAAATCCGTCGTGGTTTGATATGGAGTGGCTGCTATTTGGAAGACAGAACAGAAAGATGGAGATCCTTAGCCACAACACACTGGGCAGCTTTCAGTTGTAAGGCTTTAGAGAATGCTCAGGGTTTTTTTTCTTGTTCTTTAATACTGTAATTTTTCCTTCAGTGTAGGTGCAGTCAGTGACCTGGTGATCATGACAGCGTTTTTACTGCTAGATGGCAAAGCTTGATCTGTAGAATGTTTAACAAGCAGGATCAAGTGCAGCAGCCAGTTGCAGTTCCTTGGTTGAAGATGTGCTGTTTAACAGTGAAATTTAGAGCAGGTGGTCTCAACTAGTGTTCTTAGGATAAGATTATTGTTTCAGCCTCTCTAATGCAATGTCAGCAAAGCCTGGGGGGGACAGAGCTCCCATGTACCAAAGGATGGATTGCCTGCTGCATTTGGTCAAATACCAGCTGACAAACAAAGAACTGATAACGCTTTTTGCCATCTCGGTTGTAATTGACATCCCTTTGTTTAAGCAGCATCAGGACCAAAGTCTGTGTTGCGAAGGCACGCAGTAAGTAAAATGAAAGCAGCCAGACTGGGATTTCAGGAGATGAACCAATTTCGTGAGAGTCTGCAAGAACTCCTGGACTTTGGTTTTCCGATGTCTTAATCTTGTTTATTTAGTACACACAGCGTTCTTAATTAGTTTTTTGTCCCTAGTTTTGGTGCTTAGTCTTGGGGCCAAAGGATAGTAAAGCTGGAAACACTGGGAGCTGGTCAGTTCTTGCACAGCAGATGAGAGCAGAAGAGGTGAATGGTCTCTGTTTTTGTGGGACTGGCTTCTGTGCTGCTGGTGCGGTGCATGGAGTTCTGCCTCCACTACCTGAGCATCAAGTTACCGACTGGTTTGCATGGGAAACTTTCCATGCACAAGAGCTGGGCCTGAAAAGCTGTGAGGTCTGTGCAGCACGAGAGCTGGTGTGTTGTATTAGAACAACTGTCATGGTGTGCTAATGCACTTTAAAGCTCTGTGCAGATGAATGCTTCACAAAATTGGGAGCGAGCAAACTGAAGTCATCAACTTTCAGAAGGTGAATTTGTATTTAATAAAATAGAAAACAATGGTATTGTTACAGTAGCAAGGGTTCTATATGACAACATTTTTGTGTGTGTTATGATGTGAAATTTTATATACAGGTCAGTATGTTGTAGAAACTCAAGGGTGAGGGGTTAGGAAGGTACCAAGGAAGATGAAAGGATGATCCATGCGGTTAGAACGCGCATTCCCTTTATGAAAGGAACATTTGATCTCGTCCGTAGATTTCATGTTACGTTGTCACTGCTAGGAAGTGATTTCCTGGACATCTTCATTGTGTGGACAGTCTCGAATTCATAACTCACATCCATTAAAATTTTTAGTCATGTTGTTCAGAACTATTTCCAACGTGTAAAATTGTGTCAGAAGCCAGACAAGGGCTGTGTGGCAGCTGCCCAAGGTAGGTGGGTGTTGGTGGAGCTGACTGAGGACCAGGAGCAGTTACTTGACCAAGTGGGCCATACCAAGTTACATCAAGTTACATCAAGTTACATTGGTGTAACTGTTTCAGTTAGTGAACTGAACAACAAAGTGGTTCTAAGGAAATCACCAGTATTACTGAACTTACATTGGGATAATTATTCTTGTATGCATAACCACTATCATAAAATATTGTTATACCTGCCCATTTGCATTAAAAACAAGCTACATATCATTTTAATTACACTAGTTGTGCTGGAATGCTGCACTTTTCTGTTGCAGACCAACTTTATATCTTCAGGTTGAATGATTGAGCCTGTAAATGTTTGTTTTGCCTGTCACCATTTGCTCTCCTCACTTATTTAGTTTCAGGAATGTGTGCTCTGGTAATGCTTTTGCTGTGGGACAGTGAAATCCTGCTCCTATGTAACTAGTTCCCAAACCTCTGCTAAAGCAAAGCAGCTGCTATTCTGCTGGTGGTGCAGTGGTGTATTTCAGAATGAATGTGGCTTGACATTGGGTAGCCTTGCCTTGTAGGCAGTTCTGTGGCTTATGATTGCTGGAAATTCACGTAGAAGAATCCTGTATTAGCTTAATTCCCTTTACTTCTCAGAGCATGAGGAAGATGTGAGTACAGGCTCTACACAGTTGGTGTTGAGGATAGCCAGCAGGAGAGGCATTGCCGTTCTGAATCAAAGTGCCAGCCCTCATTAGACCTCTGAATGGTACTCTGTTGCAGAGAGCAGGTTGCATTCTTGTATTTGGAATATATTAACGTTTTCTTGTTTTGAAATTGACTTTGACTCATTCACTTTTTAGAGCTATCATCTGAAGTCTTTTTAAACTGCAAATTAAAAAACACATGTTATTATTCTTACAGGAAGGAAGAAACAGAAGCTTGCCAAAGAGAGAGCAGGGCTTTCCAAGGTAATACTGTGTTCAGTAATGCAGCACTGTTTTGAAAAAGGTTTTATTTGTATCAGGCTTGCTTGTGAGGTTTGTTTAGAGGGCGACTTCTCTGTTTTGATCCCTACGTTACAAACCTTTCTGCAGATATGCAGCCTTTAGATTTTTTTTAAAGCTTTCACAAATAACCATATGAAAATATGTCGTTCCTTTTCCGAGTCAGGTGGAAAACCATAGAAACCATAACATTTCCTGTGTGACTTGAAGATGTTTTCCTTTTCGTAGTGGGTCCACGAGTACTTTCCAGATGTAAGAAACATGGATGAGATAGACTTGTAGCTAAACTTGGGAGATTGTTGTGGTACAAATGGAATTTGCTAATCTGTTTTCTTGTTGCCAATGGTTCCTTTAAGAAGAGATAAATTTATCTTAATGCATTCTGTGATGAACATAACACACTTTGGAAATTATATTTGCTACAAAACTGTATACTTAATAAACCAAGTAGAGGTATTTCAGACTCTGTCCCTCTATGGATGTATAATGCAATGATTGGAGACTTGAGTCTGATTTTCAATATTGCTGTGCTTATGTTTATCTTAGTAGTGATACATACAATTCTTTTTTGAGTTTCCATGTAAACATATGATTGTGTTTGTTTGGTTTTGGCTGAGAACGTTTTGTGCTGAATTATTAACTGAAGTTTAAGGGCCAGCTTCAGTTTTACTGTGTATGTTACAGCTGCCTGATCTGAAAGATGCTGAAGCTGTTCAGAAGTTTTTTCTTGAGGAGATCCAGCTTGGGGAGGAACTACTAGCTCAAGGTAATAGCATAATTTCTTTTGAAGGGTAAGTGGTAAAAATAATATTTTTTTTAAACCTTTTACTAGATTTCTGTCATTGGGGAGTCAATTCATCCTCTCTTAGGTTTGGTTGCTTTTTTCTAACCTTCTGTGTTCAGAAGATTCGACAAGGGGAGGAGAAAAGAAATGTGGTTTAATTCTAAGTTGTTCAATCCACTGTTGGTGGATCTTTTTTGTAAATGCTTCATGCTGTGGAAGAGGTTTGTTCTCCAAACGTTATGATTTGTCACACAGGTGAATATGAGAAAGGTGTTGATCACTTGACCAATGCCATTGCTGTGTGTGGACAGCCGCAGCAGCTACTACAAGTTCTACAGCAGACTCTTCCACCACCAGTGTTTCAAATGCTTCTAACTAAGCTCCCTACAATAAGCCAGGTATGTAAAACACTCTGTGTTGTTGAGGTTGGAAGGTAACTGAGCTTCTTCTGTCACGTGCTACGTTAGCCTTGGGTATTGGTTTTTATGATTGGTTTTCTTAAATGTTCAGTTAGACAAAAAGGTTTTTCACATGGAACAAAATATGAAAATGTATGGAAAGTATTGCATGGCATTGATAGCAAACAAGTTAAAATAGGAATACAAAAATTCTCTTATGCACAGAGTATGCTAAGCTATTCAAGTAGAGACAACTGTGGGCATCTTACTGCATAAGCAGATCCACTGTTTCCCAGATGGAAGTTGGGTCTGAAAAAAAAGGTAACTTTCTTGCATTGGGTCTTGAATCTCAGCTTTTTTAAAATGACATTTAAGTATCTGTAAGTGCTATAAAAGTCTGTCAGAATTAACCTGTTGGTTTTGGTGGCTATCAACATGGAATGTATCAGCACCAAAGCACTTGACAGTTTTGGAAAGTTTTCCAGGTGATAAAAGTGCTGGAAGCTGTGTATATAAAATGCACTTCTTTTTAGACTGATTACTGTACAGGAAACATTGACAATCTGCTAGCAAGAGAATCTTGGAATTCCAAGGGAACTCCCTCAGGACGTTGTCTCACATGAAGCAGACACTCTGTGTTTATCAGTCAGCTGTCATTACAGCTCAGGTGTGGTTACATTTCAGTTTAAGGTTCTAATTGTTAGTAAAAGCACTGAAAAGCATCAGCTAAATGAGATATAAAGGAGGCAGTGGAGCAAAAACATTTAATGAGAGAAAGCAAAAACCATAGATGTCACAGAATACATCATAGAATGGCCTGGGTTGAAAAGGACCACAATGATCATCTAGTTTCAACCCCCCTGCTGCGTGCAGGGTCGCCAACCACCAGACCAGGCTGCCCAGAGCCACATCACTTATCTGACTTCAGCTTTGGTAGCTACTGCAGTGTATTACTTCCACAGAGGTGGCTTTAAAACCTTATGTCAAATAGATTACAATTTTTAACATTAATCAGGTTTCTCAGTAATCACACAGCTTAATTTTCAGTGTAAAATTACATTGCTTGATGATCAGTTGCCTACTGTCAATCTTATATAATTGTGAATGAGTTTTTCTCCTTCTTACAGAGAATTGTAAGTGCACAGTGCTTGGCTGAAGATGATGTTGAATGAGGTCACACAACAACAGGGGGAAAAAGTGTTTTCTTACCCCAGAAGATGAGCATCAGTAGGGGGATAAAGGGGCAAACATAGTAGTTAATGGACTGTGTACCACATCGGGTTCTACCAGAGTTAAAATTAACTTTGTGTAGGTGGGTTTCACAGGATTTTATTTATTATCCCAGTGAAAAGTGTATTTTGATAAAAATTCATTTTATAAATACACTGTGTTGAGTTATCAAAGCATCACTAACTTCATTATTATTAAAATATGCAGTTGTAATGTTGTACATATAAAGACGTAAAGCTACAACCTATTGAAAACCCAATGCTCATTTTTTGAAAAAAAAAAGAGAAAAGAATTAAAGAAAAAAGTTATGGCAATAAAGATTTATCCACACTTGTGTGTCCCTATAGTACTGCTTTAAATGTCAGAACGTTTGGGTGTCAGAGCAGGGCAAATGATCTAAAATAACATTTAAAAAAACCAAAAGTGTTATGACGGGTCTTCCAGTGCTTTTAGTTAATTCAAAACCTCATGTAATCCCCTGAGAAAATAGGCATGTGATCGTTTAAACAGTAACTGATCACATTAAAAAGAAATGCAAATCAAAATGGTAATAGGTGACTTAGCTGCTGGAGGAATGAGAGAGCTGTTTGTCAGGAACAGTAACACCTGTAGTGATGCATGTCAAAACCAAATCTGCCAAAAAGGAACTTCTGTTAAAGCACTTGTGTGAAGTAAAGCTGTTTATAATAGAACCTTGGGCATATTTTAAGAGCATAATGATATATTTTTTTTGAAAGCATTCAACCTTTTTGTAAAATAATTAACATTTCAGTCTCTAATTGTTAAGATGGTAGAAAATATTTAGCAGTCTTTGGCATTTGACTTGATTGTTTTGGTGCCGATTCAAATTACAAAGGTAAGACGATGACATCCCCAGGCTACACTAGCTGAAAGTGCTGGAATTAGAAAGAGGTAAAATATCAGAATGAGAGAAAACAAGGAAAATATACTGACTTAAATATGTTTTCAGAATTGTACTACTCATTTTCCCTCAATAGGGTATTTTAAATTTCAAATTAGAGCAGACTAGTTTCTGCCATTTTCTGTTTTTGTGCTAAGGCCACTCTGATGGCAGAAAAAAAAAAAGCAATTAAAAAAAACAATTAACAGTGTGGCTTAATGTTTTTGGCATTATGACTTGTTTCAATTTCATGAAAAGAAGAGAGAAGAATGCTTTGGTCTAATGATTACATTAATTAAATGTCTAATTTGATCTAATGTTACATTAATAGAAAGGTACTAGATGGCATAGTCTGAGTAGAAGAGAGAGGCTCTGAAAGCACTCTGGCTAACATTCACATATATCTTTCTCACTCCAGCCTGCTGTATGTTTTTGTAAAGGCAGATTCTTCCAAAACGGGACCAAAGTTCCAGAAATTGCCTTTCAGAGTCTTTGAGAGGTTAAATGGAAGGTTCATGGTCACCCACTTGTCACATAGCAAAACTTGGGAGTACAAATGGCTTTTACTGAGTCCACCAGCTTGGACAATTCTTTTTGCTGTGGAAGAGAAATTTCTCCACTAATTCTTTGAAAATACAGTTTTCCAAAGTTTGAGCTGCTGTTGAATCTTTCTGTAGTGCATATTAAAGTTTATAGCTGGTAGGAACAAAATTTCTTGAACAGCTGACTAAAACTTGGTCCTTTTGTTGTTCAGGTGCCATCAGATAGAAGTAAAACTTAGCCATCATCTTCAGGTGACGATGACTGTTTTCCTCTTTTAATTTGAATTAGAGATATAAAGTTATTCTGCTAATAAGATCTTTAATAAAAACACTGTGAAGTAGTAGAAGGTTCTGTGCTTATGGGGTGCAGCTGGACTATTTGGCAGACTTTGCCTTTTACATTTTAATTTTAAAGGTTTGGAAGAAATCACAGATTATGCTGACAGAACTGCTCCCATATTTACCTGCTGTCCTTAGCGGTAGTGGCAATTTCACTGTAAGATCTTTTTGGTTCATCTTTTAGCTTCTTATGGTAGATCAAGATTCCTTAAAACTCAAATGATGTAAGGCACCCTTCCTTCAAGACTGAATATTTTTTTGTGCTCCTTGGTATAATGTTGCCACTTTGAATTCAAAGTTTAGCTTACAGCAGTGCTTTCCTGAACTGAGTGTTTTAGCAAATCTTTCTGTCAGTTCCTTTGATGGAAGACTTGGTGATAGCCTGATTGTAACTACAGAAGTTCATTGCTTTAATAGTTGTTATAGGTACCCGTACTACTTTAAACCTTTTTAGTTTTCTTGATCCTGAAAAACTAGATATGAATGACATTTTTAGACTGTGGATTTAAATGAAGCCTTAAGAAGTACCAGTATTCTCAAATTCTATAATCCCAAAGTACCTGGCTAGTATGATGATGCAAGCTCTGATACCTGATTTGAGTGCCTTGGCTAATAGGGTGAGAATGTGGAATCCTTTGAATAAGACTGATATATATATTTTATATATAGCTCCAATAATGGCGAGCTCCTGCTGTTGTAGCTAGCATGCACAGCCTACAGATATAAGAGACTCTAACTTAAAACTTGTTTCAGACACGAGCAAAGGTGCAGGTCATTGAAAGTGCAGTGGTAGTAATGCGTCTTATTGCATCAGTAGTAGTAATGCTGCTGCCTTAGCTGTATGCAGTACTGCATTCCTTTTTACCTGTGCAATTTAAAACAAGGTGGAAGTGAACTATTCAGTTGTGGATTTGCTGCTGGCAATCTCACAGATGCTGGTAAATGACGTCTGTAATTGTGCTTCGCTGCAGGTAAGGCTGCTGTTTCTCTCAGAGCCATCTTCTGCCCTGTAGTGCTCCAGGAATGAGGCACTTGGTTTCAATGCATGTGACCACTCTGAGAATTTCTCATAAAGGAGGTCTGTTAATTTTGTTTTAGGAAGTCTCCTGTCACCAGTTATGAGTTTCTCTGACAGCTTTTATAGAAAAAAAAAAAAACAAGCCAAAGCAAAAAAAAATCCACCTAACAGCCTACAACCAACAGCTACTTTCGTGATTGTACTTTCTTTCATGTCTCACCATTAAGTTTTTTAGATAGCAGGATCAAATCCAAAACCAGAGTGATCAGGCACACACTGAATCATCTGGCACTAATTTCCTTAGCCTGGGGTATGACAGAATATTATTTTTGCCCTTAACTTCAAAAATGGAGAAGTCCCAGCCCTAGTCCTGCTGTGTAGGAGATTAGCAAACCATCATCAAAGTAAAACTTAAGCTATTCATGCACCCAGAACAATCTTTCTAGAGTTTCATTTGTATGTCTGTTGATGGTGTGTTGAAAGTCCCTTAGGCTCAACAACGTGACCGTTGTGTTAAAATTAATGTGAGTTAAATCTCAAGGGAGTCTTTGAAGTGGTCAGTAAGTGCTTTTAGTGTGTTTCAAAGGCATGTTGGACGCTACGCCCAAGCTGAGTTTTTTGAACAATGCAGGTATGAAAAAGGTTGATGTGAAGAATATAATTTTGTCAAGGTTTCTGTTGTACCCAAATCTTGCTTTGGTTTTCAGTTTGTGTGCTTACACTGACCAGTACAGATCATGTTCTTGTTTGGGGAAGGGAAGGACTGAAAAAAACACCTGTCTGCATAGCAGTCATATCTGACCACAAATCTGTCTTGCAAAGAGCTGAAACGTGCTTAATTCGTAAGGACAAGTAGCTTTTAGGCACTGCAGAGACTGAGCTTCTGATGCAGGTAGCGATACTTGCTCTCTGTAGTTGTACCAAAATGAAGCTTCCCAAAGATGTGGGCATTCAGTGCTGTTCTCCTGTAACATCCTGTGTATGAATGTGTGAATGAAACCACAGAAAACAGCTGGCCCTTCTGTGATATTTCCACACCAGGCTGCCCAGCTTACTAGAGCTAGGTAATGTGCAGGTTCTTTCCAAGTGCAGTACTTTCTGTTTGTGCTTAAAAACAAAGTCAGGGTCTTCATGTCCCTGAAATAGGGCCTTACAGGTGCTACCCTAACAGATTATATACTGTTTGTCTTTAGATAAGGTGACCACCCTCTGTGTTTCCTGATCACTGCTGTAACCTAACAACCATGAATTCCTAAAGGCTTGTATGCTCTAAGCTTTTGTCTTTAGAGGTGTAATTCCAGTTCCTGGTTTGTAAAGGTCAGGCCTTGATTTAATGGCCTGACAGATATGTGTCTTGGGGCTTTTACTCATTTCCCTTGCACTCTGAGGATGTCCTTGTATCCTTGTCTTTGGGATGAGGGTGTCATTGGTGCTCACCCATTCTGCTATGGTCACTGAATGGGGTGCTGCTGCTCCTAAAACAGTGTTGCTGCAGTGCTGCTTATGTGGCTTTCAAGTATCAGATTTCTACTCTGCATGGGGACAGGAAACAGCTGCTGCCAAGTAGTTCTGCCTCTTCACGACTTGGGCCCTTACAGCTGTGAAAAACTGATTTGGTCATACTATCATTTATTTGAGCAGGTCTTAATCTAAACAGCAGAGGGCAGTTTTGCACATCTGTTTTGTGCAAGCTCATCCTGCAAAATCCTGATTTTCAGAATCTTCACGTCTGGAAGGGTGTTGCAATGCAGCATTTTGTCCAAACAGATTTGATACAGTGTATGATATGTGACCAGTGGGGGCAGCAGTGGCATCTGTTTCTACTGACACCCAGTTTTGGCGTTTTAAATCCTCACATGTTTGTTGCAGTTATATAATTACAGCCATTTCCCTTCCCTTCCATCCCTCAGCCCAAACCAGGTATATAGGGAAGCCACCTTCATTGTGCCACTTACACCATGCCACAAAAATGCAACTGCATGTCATTCCCTGACACATCAGAGAAGGATTCCCCCTGCCCAGATGTGATTTTTCTGGATCAGCTGAGTGAAATGAGAGCTGTCAACTGCTGTAGGGGCAGAAGAGAAATATACGGCTTTAGCCTGGAGTTGGGGTTAACCACCCCCTTTTCCTCCCACCTCTCACTCCCCCTTTCCCCCCTTCAAAAAAGCAAAATTTTGGCATTAGGGTGCAGTTTTGTTGCAATCCTGTAGCTGATGTGCAGGAGCTGGTAGGCTCTCCGATGCCTAGGAGGCAGCTATTTGTGGCAGAATGGCACTCTAGCTTAAGACCAAATCATAACCACTCCTGTGCTTCTGAAGTGCTGTTTCTGTGCTTCGTGGTCGTGTTTGCAGGGGAAGGTATATGTTGGTACTGTAAGTGTAAATGGAAGTGTTCACCCCTGTATTATCCATCAGCAAGCATTTTTCTAGACATTTCACTGGTTATTATGAAATATTTCAGAGTCTGCCTAAAGCATAGCAAGTACCTAGAGAAAGTGAGCTGTTCAATAAAAGAAACCATCTCTGCAAACCAGACTTTTCTCTCCTTAGGTCAATCTGGATGTGTTACACCCTCTAAGGTAGCCTGAAAGACATAGAAATTCGCTGTAACAAATTCTTGCCCGCTTTGGCATGTATGTAAAAGAGCATTTCCTGAAGCTCTGAAACAACCTGATTAGCATCTTTTGTTGTATTTAAAATGTTTAATTAGAAGTAATGTACTTTCCGCTGTGATGATTAAAATGACAATGATTATTGCATGAATTTGTTAATTATAATGCAATGACTAATTAAATGGAGAAATGGAGAAAAGGGATTCCTGAGCAAGCATGTTCTTTGAGAAAGTCTCTGCTGGTGTTTTTAACTGATAGTGCATGTGTAATCAGTTCATACCAGTATCTCATTATTGATGGGAATGGTGTTTGGTTCTGTTGGAAATTTACTGTCATGGCACGTTGACCTGGTGTTATGCGATTGCTTGGTCCTGTAAGTGAGGAATACCAACTTGTAGAATGAAGGAAAGGTAAGCCTTTGTATATACAATGAAGAGAAACTGCAACTGTTCCCAGGTTGTAGCCTCCGTGTTTATTGAGTTCTTCCAGCTTGGGTGTTTGCTATAATGGCACTCAGCTGAATTTGCATAAACATGAGGGGTTGCTGTTTGCTTTTCATTTGCTTTTATCTCCATCTAAAGTTCTGAGCATTAACATCAGGCCCCTTGGCTTATGTTAGAAGTTGTCTGACAAAGCTACGAGCCCTTTTTTACTTCTCTGTTGGGATGTCATCTACCGGCCGTTGGCACTGGCAGAATTCTTAGCATGAAAATGTTATTATTACTTCTGTGTCAGCAGAGATGTATGTGACACTGTGAAGAATCTGTCAAGAGGGAGTCTGTGCCTCTGCAAGCTTTCAGTCAGCGGTCCTGATCCTGTAACTTACTCTGCACGGTCCCTTCCTTAGGGAAACCTAAGCTACCAAGATCAGGACATGGGGACAGTGAAACAGGAAGGAAGAAGGTAAGGTTTAGGAAAGCCTGTTTGGTTTGTTATTTATTGAGTGGATGTTTTGTTGGTCTGGTTTATGTGTATAGCTCTAAAATGTGCTTCTTTTCTACATCGTGTTATTTTCAGACTGGTTGAGTAATCAGTACTAGTTACTATTACCATCAGGAAAAATCAGACCTCAGCCAACTGCTGACCTGGTTGTAAATCATGAAACCTACCATAGAAAAACCAAACCCAAACATTAAACATCTCTTTATGGTTGGAAATATTTGAGGCATAACACCCTCCATCCCCCACACTGAAATCAAATACCGTGAACTATCAACACTGGGTTAATTATTCTGCTGGTGGTGCCAGTAGTCCTGCATTTCACAGGTAGCTTCTGCATTGCAAATATAAGAAGCAATCTTTCAAAATTTGTCTTGCTGTGAGATAGCAACTTTAAATGTAACTCTGACTGTTCTGTCAAAAAAGTTGTTCTATGCCATTGTGTCGTAGTTTTGGTGACTCTATCATGCAAATGGAAATGCTGGAACATTGGTGTTAAGTGGGCATAAGCAAAGAGCCTCTAAAGCAATGCAGTGAGTCAGCATCCATCCTTTATGTTGAATTCCAAACTGTGAATACATGAGGAGCTGATAAAATTGTTGAAAACTGGAGAAGTACATTACTGCAAGAAATTTATATCCTAGTGTTGGCCATTTTGCATTACAAATAACACAGCTTTCTACAGCTTGACTCCATTGCTCAAAGTCCTTGTGGTTAGAGCAGATGTTATCTATTGTCCAGAGTGGCTGTACTCTTCTTTTTCTGCTTTTGGGATGATACCTGGAAAGGAGAAAAATACGTGTTCAGCAGGAGCTGGCTGTGTGGTAGCTGTGTGTACAGAGGGCTGGATGGTTGGACAGGTGTGGCCTGCCACCTTCATGAATCAACAGGCTGTCTGCTTCTTAGTGAGAGCTTAGGCTGAGCACTTCAGTGCCTTGGATGTGCCGGGCAACGGTGGATGGTACATACTGATAATTTAAATTAGTTTTCTAAAGCACACAGAGACGCTGGGATGGAATATACCGATATTAGAAAGTATTCTTCCCTTGCTTTTTGTAAAAAAAAATGTGAAGTGGGGGAAACATCTATCTTCTGTGTAGAGTTGCTGCCTTTGTTTTGGTTGTTATCAGGATGTTGTTTGCTATGAGGCTCTGCCAAGGTCAGTCAGTGGCAGTGTTCTCTCTGCTGGGTTGCCCTCAGAAGTTTTCATCAGGCCTGTTAATATCTGTCACTGCACTATAGATCTTTTCACAGGTCGATGTCTCCTACCTTGGGCAGCACATTTTCAATAAAAGCAGTCGTGTCTCCCTGGTTTTAAATAAAAGTTTTAAGAAAATGGATTGCAGTCTGCCACTGCCAGCAGTTGCTCAGAATTCTTCACGACCTTTCCTTTTTTCAATTTACTGTTCAAATTTTGCCTCCCCACCTCCTGGTAATATTCCAGATTTTCTTTGCTTGGTCTCAGGGTGACAACACAACCTTTGTTGTTGATCAATTCAGCAAGGACTTTGTAAATATCCTACAAAGTATTCATAGGTCATCGTTGTATTTGTGGTCATCAAAGTATTCAAATAGGATCTCTGGGCTTTTGCAGAAAGGCTGCTGTAAGATTGATTTACTGGAGCTGCATAGGTTATCTTCATTTTGGGGAAATTAACTGTTTTTTTCTTTCTTGGAAAAGCAAGTTATTTTTGCTACTATCAGAGTGTCACCCTTGCTGACCCGGCTATTCAGGGCATAAACAGAACAGCTGTGCTCTTGGGAGGCCTCACAGGATCCAGGGGCCAAAGCTAATGATTAGCCAGACATGCTGCTCTTTGCACCAGACCTAAATGCAGTCTGCTTCGAAACGCTTCTCACTGCCCATAAGGTGTGAGAATGAGCATATGTTTCCAATGGGATGTATAGGAGCAGAAAGGCCTCTGCCAAGAGGCAGGGTTTTGCAGGCAGTCTTGGATGTCTGATGGGAGGCTTTTGTTGCTCCCCAAAATGGTGGTCTCTTCCAGTAGAGTTCAGGCAGTAGGACTGTTGTTTCCTGACTAAACAGGACTCTGCTTTGGGCAGAACTTTCAAGTTCAGCATCTTTCAGTGAACATCAGAATTCACATGCATCAAATTCTTTTTTTTCTTTCAACTCAGAACATGGAGGTCATACAGAACAATCAGTCTGCTGTCCTCTGCCTTCTGCTGGGTATCTTCTGAAGGTGGAGTGCCTTCCTTTTGCTGTTGGAGGGACTTTGTATTTTGGCTTTTCTTTTTTCAGCGTTGAAAGGTTCTTTTCAGCATACAAAGGAAATGTGTCATCACCGAAGCACTTAACGGAGTTCAGTTTTAAGGGCTGCCATCAGGGCTGCTGAGGTAGCTGGTGCAGCAGGGCTGGGAATAAGACATCAGCTCTAGGTTCATGTCTGTCACCTTGGAACAAGGTAGGGCTGACTGTCCCTCCTGTTGGGGTGGATGTGGGAGGCGGGAATCTACAGGCCTCAGTGTAAACACCAAGTTTTCACAGCAAAGCCAAGTTTGGCTTACACTTCCTTTGGGGTGCATCTTTCCCTTTTTCTCAGACCAAGCAGTTTTGCAGTGGCCAGGTTTGGTTGTAAAAGGCTGAGAGGAGACTCGACCTCTTTTCCATGCGGGTGCCTGCGTACAGGTGCAGGGTGGTGAGGTGGGAGGATGCAGTGCCTCGTGTATTCTGGCTTGCCAGAGCCAGTGCCACTAGATGGCAATGTGGTACTCTGGAGTACCTTTTCCTTCCCGTACAATAATTGCTTTTTCTGTATTTATCTCTGCCAAACTGGTGATTGCACCCACCACCCCGGCAAAAGAACAGAACAAAATCATTTCATAGAACATTACAGCCATTGTGCCTTTTTCTTTTCTTTTTTCCTTCCCTTACCCCACACCCCCAACCCCAGTTCTTTGTCCCACAGCAGGGTGCAGAGGTTTAAAAACTTTCTTAATCTTTCTCCTTCTAAAAACAGAGAAAACGCAGTCTCTTGGGAGCAATTAGCTGTGAGAAAAGCATTTCTCAAACAATTGCCAGGAAATATTGTCTTGACTGATATTCCTGATGTAACACTGTCGTTCTCAGTACTGTTATTCTAAGATACTTGCCTGCAGAGCCAGCAGGGTACGGTTCTGTAATGTACGATCTGCAGTTTAGCACCTACCTTACCTTTTTATATCCATTTACTTTCAGTTTGTGTCCTCCTTGCACCCCCTGCAGATATTCTGCTGGGGAGAGTGAAGAATTATTTGTGACTCTCCTCTTGTGACTGGTGTATCGCGCCAAGGCTGCAACAAGATACGGCTGAAAATTAAGGTTATGCCTCTGCTGTGCCGGCTCCAGATTGAAATTCTCTGGCAGTGCTGTGGAGGAGGTCAGGCTGTGTGATTACAGCCATTCCTTCAGACTCAAAAGCTGGCAGCCTTGGTGTACGTGAGGTTGATGAAGCCTGAATTTCAGAGGGAGCAGCTTGAGAGAAGGTATACGTGGAGCAGACAGCAGCTGTGTGCTGAAACTGGAGTCCTGACCCTGAAGCCCTTTCCCCATCGCTGTGTTCCTACAAGATGGACGGGGCTGCGGAGAGCGGAGAGGTCAGAGAAATGGGGATAAACTCACACTGAAAGCTAAATCAGCAGTGTCTCTGAAGCACTGCTAGCGAGGTGTGCGTACACTCATGTCCATTCACATGTACAGCCATATTTGTTTGTATTATGAGGCTCAAATTCTGCCCCTCTTTACATATATTCATGGAGATTTGAGAAATGAGCCTCACTCTGTGGGACAGGGTGTGAACTGAAGCACCTTCTGGAAGACAGACAGCAGTGTAATCCTTTCATTCAACCCTGTCTGCAGCTGCTTTTTATAAACTTGGCATAAATACATACTCAGTGAGGCCAGGCCTGTGTAGCTGGAAAATATTTTCCACCATCCAAAAAAACAGAAGATTGGAAAAAGAGCCCAGAAATTGTGCATAACATGGAATGGCCTCACTTGTGGTTTTTTTCCATGACTTCCTCAGCTCATTTTTCTGCTGCCAATTTTAGAAGCCCATAAGTCATACTTGTTAAACTTTCTCAGTTAAAATGTAACTCTAAGAACAAAGTCATATGATATGTTGCAGCCAAATAATCCTTGTGGAGCCTCTGGCTTGAGAACAGCCACCCTCTCACAGACCTGCAGGGCTCTGTCTTAGGGCCGGGGGCAGAGAGCGGCACAAGGCATGGCCCCTTGACCACAGCAAGAGGTTCTCCCTGCTTTTGCTAGGATAGTTGAGCCCGTGGTGGGTTACACTGTGGATCAGTTGGTTTGGAAGGGGAGAAGTTTCAGCTTCTCCTCTAGAAGCACTTTAAACAGGAGGTAGGCAGAGGGAGTGAGAGGAGGCAGTATGGAGGCCAGTGGAATCCAGCAGTGAAACACTGGGAAGCTGGTACAGGTAGGAGCTGTTGCCATCAGGGCAAACTAGCTGAGGAGAGAGTGCCAAGAGTGAAAGTGAATTTGCTGGAAGGTTTGAAGAAAGGGCATCCTCTCTTGGGTGCATTTTTAAGCATTGAATCAATATGGAAGTACTTGCTTGCCAGGAGCAATATTTTCCTTTTCCAGTTTTGCTCTCTTATAAGGCGATTGTGCTCACATCTGAGCCCTGAATGCTTGTCCTCAAGACCATCTCTCTGTCCAGTTTCTGCTTTGCTCCCACCCGAAGGACAAATCCCAGGTCACTGCTGCAGAGGGGAACTGCTCTAAATTTACACTTGGGCAACAGCTTGAGGGTGGAACTGGCTGTGAGCTCTGCCAGCGGAATCATTCCAGCCAACCTTCTCTGAGGCAGCATGTGTCCTCAGTGCTGCTGGCCCCAGTCTGTGCCTCTGAGGCCTGATGGCTTCCATCAGCTACCTGCAGGGAGCTGCTGTGCCATGGGCAAGCAAGCCTGGAAGCCAAGAGTGGAGCAGGAAAGGGGGTC